ACTAGCTCGGGAATAACACTTGTGATTTTGATGCTTTTCAAGCGATCTTGTACAGACGCCATAAATTTGCTGAGACGTTCCTCGGTACGCAAGTATACTTCGTTCCTCAGCTTCAGATCGTTGTCCACTTTCCAAGTGACACGAGGCCGTGGAACGATAATCTCGAGAAGACGAATGGGGTCATATTGGACTCGCACAGCAAGATCCCTGTAGCCAAAATAGTGGAAGTAATCCCGCCGCAAATCATGCGAACAACCTCCAGTACGAGCAAGCAAGTGTCTTCCCCAGAAAGACAGCTCCAAGTATTTTCCGAATGAGTATTTCCATGTGCTCGACGACATAGGCATGACTTGGGTTTCATTGCCACAGATTTTGCAACAGCTCCACATCAGCACGGAATTATGGAGCCCACGGAGCTTAGGAGGACAAGGCTGGACCAGGACGCTGATCTGAGCCTCACCATGGACGTACTGGCGGTGGTGTTCGAACATGCGCTTCTCGCAGCCGTTGATGTTGCATACGGAATTTGCTGCATGACAAAGGTCCTCGACATACTGCCCAATTGTGAGATCCGACTCGAAAATTGTGTCATCTCCATGCTCATTGTAGAACTCCAGCGCAAAAGTATCGGGCCCTGAGCAGGGAACTGATGTTGTTGTGCACACAACACTGTAGAGAATAACCAGGTTCTGATGCGCATAAGGGTCAAACATGTTAGGATTCCCCGCCACGTAGGCTTCCCACTGGCGTTTTTGGGTTTGATGGTGATGAAGCGCCCGATCGTACTCGGCTTCATGCGCAGCACGCAATACTTCCTTGACTTTTGCTGGCGCATCTTGTGGTGATTGATGGACCATTTCCGGGGTGATGAGGACAAATTTCTGCGGTTTGGCCTTTTCATCTGTGGTCTGATGCGAGTTGCGGTCTTGATCACGAAGAGATTTCAGATATGAAAGTCTGCGTTCCATTTCGCGCGCACGCGTCAGGAGATACGGAGGCTCGAATTTGACGAAAGGAGAGGCCGACAAAATCTTTGTATTATAGTCGTGAACCATATCATCATGGTATGTCGGCATTGGGATGTTATCTGGAACTTTTGCAGCATCAGCATCAACAAGAAGTTGGTTATCAGAGATATCGCAAAGTTTCTCCTTTGTTTCCTGTTGCACAGGAGGTGGGTCGATTAGATGTTCGCCGCCTTCGTGAGTGATAATCTGGGGACTGCATTTCTTGTCTTTGTCGAGCTGAACCGTCGATTCTTCGGTTGATATCCTCCCGAATTCATCCCGCATAAGATTGGTTTCTAGGCGAAGATTGTACACAACGTAGATCATGAACTCAGTGATCCTTTTCACATTCCCGAGGACTTGATCATCTCCTCCGCGTAGGATAATGGTACACCCGAGCTCTTTCGGACAGCCGGAGATGTACATATATGTTTTCTTTCGACCATTATGAACATAGGTTTTCACGTCGAAACTGCTGCATTCACTATGCAATGTGGTCGTCAAGAGCTTGTCCATAGATGTCATAATTCTAGTCTGTGTGCATCTCGACACAGCCTCGAGAACAGATGGCTTCACGTTGTATGCAGTCGCAATTCCAGCTTGCTCGAGGAGGCCAAGAGCCAGGCCAGAAACAGTTTTCTCGACCAGCAGTAGGCTTGGACGCAATGCTGAAATCCGACTGACCAAGTTCTCTAGAAACTCGCGCTCCTGTCGAATAACAGGTTCGAGACTCATGAAATGTTGTTGCTGGCGAGCGTATTCAAGAGGAAACGTGATGATCAAAATGTTTGGACGCAAAATGTTGCGCGACATGCCTTTCAGAGCCAAGTTTTTCGTGAAAACGAGTCCCGATACATAAGAAGTGTCACTAGGTCGGCCACCGGGAATTTTCTTCAACTTGACGTAGTGTCGAATGTCCATATCATCCCCTTTTTGGACATCGGGGTCGACCTCGTCTGCTGCTTTCAATAGTATTGGCATCAAGGCGTTTTCCCAGCTGTCGTCATTTGGTACGGCGGATTCTACAAGCAGTTGATGCAGAAGCTTTCGTACGTGTTCCAGACTGGCTTTGTTCAATTCCACCGGTGGGGCATCGGTGCCCCTCATTGATGAGCTCCGAGTCATCTTGAACCCGACCTGCTTTGGATTCCCGGGTAAAGATATGACTGGCACCGAGGTGTCATGAGGAGGCATGCTATCCTTTGCTGTCCTGGGCGAATGGCGCGGTTGATAACTGCTAGTAACACTCAGGTTCCGACGACGGGATAAACGAGGTAGATTCACGGCTCTTGAACTGGTGATACTGGCTTCGTCTGCATCTCGATTAATACTGGGAGTACTTCGGTCTCCAAAAGCAGATCTGCCCTTTTTCATGGCAGCGAGAAGCCCACCAAAGGATGCTCTCTCATTTTCACCCCCACTCTTGGACAGGGCGCCCTCAGAGACTGCAGACAAGAGACTAGGTTGCTCATCGCCACTGGATGCGTCATCCGAGAGATATTGAGCAAGGTCAGGGTCAATGATATTATCCTTATGGAAGGCGGGGAGTCGAGATTCAGCATCTATGTCTTCTGCATGTCGGCGTTGGAAGGGGGCTCGATCTTCATGATACGATTTGAAACCCCGAATATATTGCTGACGAGAGTGGTGACGTTTATGACTGATGGAGTGCGGTCTTCCCCCCAAGGAGGACCGCAAAGAGCGCGAGGAGGTAGGTCGTGCTAGAGGGCGATCAGAATCAATTTCAAGGATCGCCGAGCGGCGGTTATGTCCCTCTCCAGCCCGTCGTGTGGCCGGTATGGCCATCGTCGGTGTTCTCAGAACGTGATCGATCGATTGAGATACAACCGAAGATGAATCATCGTCATCTGCAGATGCCCGCCCAGTATTAGTCCAGCCGAGTTCGGAGACTCGAGAATTGGGCACTATGGGGCTCTGCTCGCTATCGGAGAATTCAGATGAATCATCGTCGTGCGCGTTGATCATCTTCTCGCAGGGTTTGCAAACCCGAATACTTCCAGGTTGCCCGAACCGTGTTCCCGAAATAAGAAGAGTGCATTTCGAATCAAAGATTTGGCCACATGTTCGACAGTGGTGTTTTCTGCGAAATGTTGTGAAAGGTTCTCCACAATAGAAGCAGTCTTTGGCATTCTCGTCCCGCATCCAGAAGTCCCTGCTAAGTAGTTTACTCCTTAACTGCGACAAAAGACCGTCGCCCCCGGCGGGAGGTTGGCGCCTAGCTGATAGAGATTGACCAGTAGCCCGATCGAATTCAGTGTTCAAAGGGGGCAAAGAAGAGACCGTTGTGGTAGTTTCGGCCGTGGAGGCCCGTGAAATCACGTAGCCGGGCAATCGCGCCGCTCGGGTTGAGGACGCTGACTCTTCATTCGACCTGCCGGGGGTTTTGACCTTTGGAGGCTCATTGGTGTTCGCGCTGTCACGAGGAATATTTGTCTCCATGTTGGTTTGGAGTCTTTCAGCATTGTATGGTACTTCATCATGAGAGGAAAGCGTTGATAGGCTGTTTGACAAAGAAACTGAAGCTTTCGGCTCTTCAGAAGGGAAAGATATTCGTGATTTTGACCTCTCTTCCGAATACTGTGATGTATGGTCCTGGGGTGACTTAGGTTGCTTGTAATTTTCCATGTTAGCTGATTGCGAGGTGTTTTCGGGCAGCATTTGTTGATCTGGAGTAGAAACAGACTTCCGAGACTGGTTCTCTGGAGTATAGGTTGCCGAGAAGAGTGAGTCTTTGGAGTTAAATTCCTCATGATGGTTGTCATGCATCTTTGCAGACAGAACCGGCGAACCAGAAAGGTTCTGACCCAATGAAGAGGATGTTTGACTCATGGAAAGATCTAAAGGGCCTTCCTTGCTGCCGATACTTATCGATCCTGCATTATGGTTTCCCTGGAAGGAGCCATTAACGGAGCTGCTTCTTGAGCGGTCGGGGTTTCCGACAGCAGGATCTGCCACGATGGCGCTACCAGTGGTCTTCGTTAACGGAGCGATACTGGGTTTGATTCCAGGGGATGGCGACACAGAGGCCTTGGAAGATATGCTGCCACTTTTGGAGGATATTCTTGATCTCTTTCCTACGTTCGATGATTGTACAGAATCTTGATGAATGTGAAAGTCAGGCACAACAGGCGAGTGGAGCCTTGATCCTTGTGACGAGTTGGGCTGCGATGGCGGGTAGTCGACGGAGCTTGTAGCAAGATCTGAGACTGGTTTTGCCATCGAAGGCTCCGACAAAGGACCCTTGGCTGCAGGAGTTTCTGTCGCATTTTTGTCTGTAGACTTTCCGCCACCGCTGACAATATCCCTCACTCCCCCGACGGAAGTCCTAAAGCGACTATACAGACCGCTTAGTCCACCTTGTAACTCATCAGACAGCCCTTTCTCGTCTGATGTAGCAGCTGGATCTGGTGGGCTAGTGAAGTCGTTGAAGAGAGTGAGCGATTCGGACTGATACGCTGCATTATGGTAGTTATCCAGGGCTGCATTCATCGATTCTCGTTCAGTCTGAGTCGTGGCCATAGAGTCATGTGATCCGCGTCGCCCAAGAGAAAGCGAGTTGGAAGGCACAGATGCACTGTGCGAGTCCTGGGACTGCTGAGAATCCATGGCCAAGTTAGGCAGAAAGGTCTCGGATCATCTCCATACAGGCTTCAGGCACCGTTAATAGCCGAGCATTCGGGGCAGGACTGCGGGAAGGTCTCGGGTTTGGCGGGTTTGGAGAAGGAGAAGAAGGTCGAGGTTCCAATAAAGGCGTCTGTCAGGGTAGTCAAAGAAACTTCTTTGAAAAAAAAGAATAGGTCCCTTTGCCCTCCGCACTTTGAATGACGTGGTGGTGCTGAGTAAGCTAGGCGCGTCTCCTAATCGATAAGACGCGGTTGAGTGGTTGGTTTTTGCGGTACGACCTTTCCTTTTTTTTGGACAAACACCGGGGATACAGACATTCCATGTTCACTGCTTACAGTCTTACCAGCTATGACCCATATGCTGTGTATCAAGTTGATCACAAGGCTGGATTCGCACGATGAATCTAGTGAGTCCCTGGATCGCGGCTTTAGCCGACCAATGTCTCTCATTTTATCTAGGTCAAAATGATCAAGATGATGTCCAGGTGGAGGATGTTGATGGATGCCTCAGTTTCAGTATTTGCAGCCCCGTACCGAAGGCAGCCGTTGTTGTATTGGTAAGATATCTTCACCGGGTGCGAAACAACGAAAAAAGGAATTGTCGCTAACTGTGTGGCTCCTGTCTATTAGTGGGAACAAGGAGAGCACAGTCACCGTGTCACACTTACGGACTCAAAGAATCAGGTTGATGCGATTATTTCACGAGACTCGCCGGACACACAGGGAGCAACCTCTCCCTGCCCACCGTCGATCAAAGGAGGCCCCAGGCACCTGGTTGAACTTTCCGATATCAAGCTCATTTTTACATACTCAGCAGCTAGCCCGGATGTCTGCCTTCACATCAATAGCATTATCATCCACCGGAATGCGATCCCAAAAGGGGATGTGCCGAAACCAAAACTCAAGAAAACAACGGCTCTCAGGGCCCTGATGACTATGGTGTGCGAGAAAATCCAAAAGACCCGAGGGCATACTAGCTCCAACAGTCAAAAATTTACTAGCTTGACTGACCCATTCAATTCTCATCGTGATCAAACCATGCCTCATTCTCAAATCAACCCGGCATCACAATTACTATTCTCCCAACCCGCTCCCAATATGCTTCATGGTGCACCGAAGGGTAATTCAATGGCCAATCGTGTTTCCATAAACGGATCATCAGATCTTCTAGAATTGCTTGCGCCTGCCCATCCGATTCAAACGAAAGAGACAGCCACCGAAGATGAAATAAAGTGAGTGGCACTTCAAGACATTAGCAGATCTCCAACTGGAATACTACCCTTATCCCGGAGACTTGCTAGCAACACTGCTGATGCGACGTGCGCTAGTAAATCTCCTACCAATCCGCCTTACACCACTATCGCACAAGACGTGGACAACTTAGCAGACTGTAGGAGTCAGGTTGGACAATCTCCAAATCAGTCAGATGATCATGGCCAGGCTCATACCATTGGAACTGTGGAAAACCAGCAGTTTTCAAAGAAAAGAAATCGTGACAGCACAGATGCGCCATCACCAGCAGCTCATGACGATGACCTAGGTCCACAAGGCCGGCAAACCCCAAAGACATCACCCTCCAAAAAACGGCAGCGTATCGATGCTGGAGAGGTAATGCCAGCGGACCCAACAGGATTTGACCAAGTGCAAACCAAGCCCGTGCCATCACTTCCTAACGGGGGGGTCACAAGCACCAAACTAGGCATTGTGTACCCATCCACAACAAATCCATGGGAAGGAATGACAAAAATACCTTCGAGTGAAGTTGATATTCCAAAAGATCAGGCAGAACTGTTGGAAGGGCTCAAATGGATCCCTCAGGACCCCGGAGTATCTGCACCTATATGCCATGTACCGCCTCATCTTTTGATGCAGTGGAACAAAGTTGCACGAAGAAGGCAGCATTTGGCAGAAGAAGCAGAGGCAGAAGCAGAGGCAGAAGCAGAGGCAGAAGCAGAAGACGAGGAGGAGGAGGAGGAGGAGGAGCAAGTATCTGAACGTGCCCCTACCCCGACCCCGCAAGATCCCTATACATCTCCCCTACCCCTACCATGGTCTTCATCCCCCAGTAGGAGTCCCGCTCGAGATGTTCTTCCACGGGACACCGCTTCTCCCCCAACATTCGTAAGGCCTACCAGAAAAATTCCTACGCCAAGCAGTACTCAATATAGCATTGATCGATCTGGAGAAGATGACGATGTGAGCATGGTGAATGGATCTTGCAGTGCTCCCCAGCCAGGGCAGGGGAATATCAAAACAGCAGACCAACAACGTTCGCCGTTTCTTGAGGAAGTACCCACAAACCCGAGAAACCCAGTGTCTTTGGACCACGATCCCGATGACCCATTCCCAAACCACGAGACTTCAACATCGCTAGATGTAGTCAACGACCAACCCCAAACTCCATTACAGGGACATTCTCACGATGAACCACCTGTGGAGAATCCCCCACTTAAATCTGAAATGCGTGATGAATCAAGTAGCGATGAGAGCGACGAGCCAGAGATGGAAACACATGTTCCTCTCGCTCTGGGTGGAAGCCTTCCATTAAGCAGTCAACCTGAGCAGGAAATTCCTAGCTCGGGGCCGTCGCTTCCAAAATTTGCAGGGGAGCCCATCCAAGTGGTAGAGACACCTGCAGTCCATACTACAAGTCTGAATCCTGATAAGAAAAGCAAACAGAGAGCTGGGTTGCCCCCGGGCTCTCAGCAGCCATACTCTCACGCTCCGAAGACATACCCCTCGTCTCGCATTCTCAATACCTACCGCTCACAAGATAGCAACAGGCACAGTTGCCTATCCCAGGAGGCACCAAATTCGTCTTTGCCGGTATTGGAAGACGAATCACTGCGAGTGGATGTGCTTGGTACTCAGACTCAAACGAGCAGCGTACATGCACCATCACAGGCGACAGTCCAGTCGTCCTCGGATGTTATACTTGATTCATCGAGACCTGCTCAACGACAGCGTGGGTCATCTATCTTCCATTTAGATCCCTCGGACGACCCGTCGTCTTTTCCTTATGGCAGGTGTCACTCGCTGCCCAGGTCTCAACTTCATGAACCAAGCCAAGATTCCTCGAGAGGACCCCTTTCGCTCGACGGAGCCTCGCAGTTACCGGACTTGTCCCCCATGGAATTCACCACCTGGGTCGCTGCTCAGAGAAAATCACCATCCAAATCTTCACGTTTTCCGCACACCGAGAGTGCTGATGCTGTCAAAAAGGCATCTCACAGTCCAAATGTCGAGTTGGTAGCACGGCGACAGGGCTTTATCGGAAAGTCTAACAAGTACGCTGAAGCACAGACGATCTATGAAAAGTTCTGCAATGATTATTCGCTGTATTCTGGCGATTTTGCTCACTTCACTGAGATGTGCGCGAAACTGCAGACAATGCGGCAAACAGGCCAACTACAACGGTCGTTTCTCTGGGATGACTTCGTCATCCAACATTTGGAAGAGTACCCGCGCCACTTTGCGGACCTTTCATCCCAAGAGTCCAAGGCACTTCAATACGAGCACTTCTTCTGCTCCCGTTTCTCCCGCCCCCAGCACAAAAAGAGAAGCCTCACAGCCCACGGAGTTGACATAGTCGCGTCTCAGTTTGTTCTGCGTACTAGTGCCGAGCTAGGAAACCCGCCGGTTCCACATCAAGCGACAACCCAAAGCGAGGTAGCCCAGGATAAAGTGGTGCAAAGCGAAGTGCCCAACACTTCTTTCACAACCAGTCTTGTGGAAAAAAACTCAACCCTCCATGCCCAGTCCTTTGGTGATGCCCCTGTTCCGGATGTCTCCATGCCCACTGCTAGCACCGGTCCGGATTCCGTGGAGGTTAAAAAAGAATCAGATGATTCTTTCAATGAACCGATTAGCTCGCAAATTATCACGAGCAGCAATGATCAAAAACCTGTGCTCTCCAGTCATGATGAAGAGATGGTTGATGCAACGCAATACGACCCAGATAACACTCGCATTGCGCCTGATGCGAACGACGTTGACATGACCGAAACTAGCATGGACGAAATTGACGAGATACAAGGAGATGATACTCACCATGAAACCGCCAGCATTGAACTTGGCGATGACACTGACGATCGGCGCTTCTCTGCCTCTCCCGCCCCGCCCGCGGCCCTGGGTGGGCTGAAAGCTACCGAGCCCGAGCCACTAAGGCAACGAAGACCCTGGTTCCGATCTCTTCGGGAAATATTCCCCAAAGGTCCTGTGTGGTCCGACGACCCCGACACGCCATTCAAGCGTTGGGCTCGCCAAGACCAGAACGTTCTTCAGGAACTCAGGCGTCGCGGTGGAGCTAGGGTCCTAACTGATGAGAAGGGGGTCATCCGTTGGCCCACCTACAATCAGGAGAAGAACCCTGATCCCTAGGGATTGTAATTGTTCAAGCACTTTCCATTCAAGAATTGTATTTCTATTTTCTATGGGCCGGTAGCTAACCCAACGCATCGGCAAGGAGTACGCATAAACGGCAGATACCATTTCATTTCATGCTTACTCGAGGAAAGGGACACAAACCATGGGATGGTGTACTATCTCATTTTTTTTTAAAAAAAAATGAGGTTTCGTGTATTTTTATTGTGTAATACATATTTCCTAATCACCTGGCTAGCCCCTGGATGTTGAATCAGAAGATCCAAGCCTTGAAACCCCTTTCATATCACTAATGACAATACTTTGTATCAACCCATAATTCACTAAATCCTAATCATACGCGTGTTTCATAAAGGGGAAAAGCCACAAAAATCCCCCAATCAGATTTCTTCTTCCCAAATTCCCCGTGGGGCCCCAACGCCTCTGACAACATCGAATATCGGTGCAAGACAGTGAAGTAGAGATCGGCAGCAGTCAGGCTCGAGCCTCGCTGCAGATCCTAGCTTTGGCCTTTACGGCCCCCAGGCCCGCAGGGGTTATTGTCTCATCTCATGATGTGAGCTATTTAGACCCCCGGCGAGGACTTCATGATTTAGAGATCTGTGAGATATTTTGTTGCTGGCGGTTTGTAGTATCCTCTTATATTTGGACAAATTAGTTAGTTCTACGAAATAGGAGAGATTGAGCCAGATGATAATTGTGGATGGACTTTGTATTTGAAAGAATTTGCAGGCAGATAGATACTAGTGATTCCTTCGTAGAGGACCAGAAAAATATACAAAAATGCAATTGTTCCCTCCCACGGAGATCATAGTCCCGTTGTGCAAAATGACATGAAGATCATAAAAATTTAGGGAAAGGACATGGTCATTAAAAAAAAATGCAAAAAGCCACGAGAACGCCTTGGTATCACCAATCTAAAATCGCTCCAGAATTGGGTGTACAGTCATAGAAAACCCGCATATTTTTAGGCATGACGGAAGGGCTCGTAGGCGCTTGACTGTTGGTTGTTGTGGGTCATGGGGATATCATTGTGGTGGGCGGGGGGAGGGTAGGAGGTGTTGTAGCCGTGCTGGGGAGCATAGGGCTCCTGGGCACCGAAGGGAGGGTGGGCGGCACCAATGGGCTCATAAGTATAGGGAGCCTTCTCTGCAGTGACGCTGCCGCGGTTGTTGCGGCGGTCCTTGTGGCTGTAGGGCGAGCGGCCGGAGCAGCAGCAGGTGCTGAGCATCCAGAAGATGGTGGCTCCGAGAGAGAAAGCAACTGCGAGCCAAGTAGCGACGTAGATGTTCTTGCCCAATCCTACCTTGACACCGTAGACCTTGAGTGCTGTGCCGAGGGAGCCCTTTGCGATGGAGAACATGATGGTGGAGGTGAGAGATGCGGCAAGAGTGAAGAGGAACGAAACAATGGAGACAATGGTGGTGACACAACTGCCCCAGCGGCTGAAGATGGCGAAGATACCAAGCAGGACCTGAGCGCAGGTAGCAATGAAGGCGACGAGGTAGGCGATGAACATCCACTTGGAGACGGCCTTGTAGACTTTCATGATCTTCTTCATACTGCTACCAAGCTCGCTCTCAAGCTGGGTCTCGCTCACGCCCAGGACTGAGGCCGGGTTGAAGTAGAACTGGGCCTTAGGATCTGTGCAGGAGGAGACGGTATCCTTGTTGTCGGTGGAATTTCCCTCGCAGTAACCCCAGAGACCAATGTCGTAGAAATCAGCAATGTTGGCATCATCCTGCAATGTTTTGATGGTGGAGGAGACCTCGCTTGCGGTAACATCAGTGATACCGGCATCGCTGAGGCGATCTGTGATTTCTGATGTAAGTGCCGATCCTGAACTGATGTTCGAAAGGTCAAGCTATAGATTATTGGCATTAGCGGATGTAGTAATCACGTAGAGACTTTGATTTTGATCACTTACACGAATGAAGTATAAATTGTTCAACGTAGAAGAACTGGCTTTTGTGCAACCCAATGCCACCATAATGATGCAGATCAATGACGCGATAGTCAAGACATAGGGCGTGAAGATACACGCAATGCGACCGGCTTTTCCCATAATGAATTAAGATGTATGGATGGAAAAGATGGGAATACAGATAAAGATGGTGAAAGATGGATGAGAAGTGGAGAGCTGAGATTGGGGGGAAATGACTTTAATATAAATGCCCAGAAGAGAGTAAACAACGTACAACCTAACGCACAGCCTCTAAAAAAGAAACTCCAGCCTCCCATGGAAGGAGGCGCAGGATCAGCGGACCAATCAGTGGCTGAGCAGTCACGTCGCCGGGGGCCACGTTTGCTTCTATTTGAAGCTTGAGCTAGTCCTATTTGGGTCTAGCGGGATCCTTCCCTCTATTTATCCCTACATCCACACAAATCAACACAGTCAGATCAGTCAGGACAACGACAATTTAGAAATACGAATATTGTTTATATGCAAGTCATATTGTCCTAAGCATTATAAGCTGATTGTATCGATCTTAAATGTATTAAGGTATCCCCAATCTCTACATTTATAGTGTACATACAAAATTCAATCTATCAAACCTTCGTCATATCCATGTTCTGACCGCTCCAAGATCAACATTCCAGTGGCCAAAGCAGGGTGATTCTCCAATCCGAGCCTCGTCACCCTTGATCAGCCTTGTGGGTCATTTTCAAATTTTCCCTCTCCGCCTCAAGACTGCGTAAGCCTGGGTATGGAGTATCGTTGTACGAGATGGATGCCAGGCTCCCCTATTTTTCTCTTGGCATTATCTCCCGTATCCCATATCCCGCCCTTTCCTCCAAGGCTATACCATTCCACTCTCCGCTGTCTCTCGACTAATGGTGATGCCTTGTTCTATATTTATTTATCCAATTAATTTTATTTTTTTCAGATAAACTTCTCTAAATCCAGGTTAATCCCGCGCTGACAAACTTAAATATTGCGCAGCATCAATATTCCGAGATCTTTTCCGGAAATACCATGCGCTGATCGACAACACCTCTCATATGGCCACAACTGATACATGAGCTATAGCCATCATTGGGATTTCTTTTTTTCCCCTACTACCTTTCTGAAGAAGAAAAAAAAAAAAACACATGCAGTGGTCAAGAAAAAAATTTTTTTTTAAAAAAATTGTAGCAACCGAACTCGATAACTCACATGCTACATACAGAGTACTTATGTTTCATATTCGCCTCAATCTACAGGGTTTACTCCAAGTATGGCTCAAGCGTCGACAACATCCCCTTGTACGCCGTCCCACTGGGAGGCTCCATGCCAAAGATATAATCGCCCCACCAAGGTCCAGCACCCCACCACAATGCGCCGAGCCAGACCTCCGAGTTATCACCTAGGTAATCAAGCATGCCTGTAATCGCCGTCTTACAATTATCATTCACACCGCCGGCAAACTCGCCTATAACTCCAACCTTTTTATTATCCTTCAGCCACTGCGTCGCGTCCGTCACGCGCTCTTTTCCAATCGTCGTCGACACACACGTCTCGCTCGTGCCTGATCCATCCGAGTCGAGGTACTGGTGCATCTGGTAGACGATCTTGTCTTGGGGATCGGTTAGGGCCTTCAGGTTATCGTTCTCCTTGGTCCAGGTCCATGCGCCGGTGTAGGAGTTTCCCTCGACGAAGATATATTGGCTTTTTGCCCCGGCTTCGCGGATGCCGTCAATGGCTGCCTGGTTGAGCTTTAGGACGAGGTCTTGGTCCATGTCGTGGTATTCGTTGTCTGTGCATGATTCGGTTAATAGAAGGCCTGTGATGCGACTAAAGGGTTGGGGTACTGACTTGTGTCGAAAATGACTAGCTCATTCGAAACGAATTTGCCTGCAACGTTCTTCCAGAATGTCTGGAAGTCGGAGGTGGTTGAAATGATCTCGCCGTTGCTGTGTGCACCCATAAGCCTCGATTCATTCGCTCCTCACTTTGATAGAACACTTACTATCTTCCATAGTTATGCGGATCAAGCACCGCATGGGATCCTGCATCAGTGATGGATTTGACCGTCTGCAACTCGATCAGTATCCGCTTGTTTCTCTTTAGGTAGATATGGCACAACATACCGCGGTCAGATTGGTTAGATAGCCAGCGTCAAACTCTCCTGTCATGGAGTTCGGTACCAGCCGTTCCATCCTGAAGGCCACCCGGAAGATGTTCATTCCTTTTTCCTTCAATGTTTGGATCGCGCTAGCATCGGGGAAGATATAATCGGTTCCCTGTTCCGGTCTTTATCAGTTGAGATCCTCCGAAGATATATATTTAGCCCACGCACATAGACGCCAGGTAGGTTGGTCTCGCCAAATTCAGCTCCAGATTCGCTTGCTCCGAACCCTATACAAGAAATTTGGTCAATGGATAATCAGAAATATCTTTTGAATTCATGGACTCAAACATTTGAAAGGCGAAGCTCTCTTTGCATGGTTGTTGGCAGGAGCTGCTGCTGCGGATCCGGCCACAGCGGCGAGGAGAGCAATTTGATCGAGTCTCATATTGAAAATTCAAGCCCTTTGTTGTGTGGAATCAATGGTTAAGACTAGAAAAGAAAAGGAATGATGCGACGGCAATGCGAAATGATACCAACGGCCGGGGCGAACTTGGGCATTTTATAGTTCTCTTGTCAGTGAATTAACGTACAAGGCCGGGTAACTAGCAGGATATCCCAGAACGCATCACACGGAAATTGATGACAGAAAATGACACGGGGTTTCATAAATATTCAGTTACTAGAGTGGGTTTCTGATGTCGAATAGGTGGAATTTACAGCAACTTCGGATATTATAGTGCATAACAACAACAATCCATCACCAATGAGGATCCACAGAATCATGCATCACGATGAGAAATGGTCCTTCTTGGCGACCTTATGCGAAACGGATAGCCAAAAAGGCAATGCCCCGGAGTCTTCAGGTTTCTCCGTCGTGAAGAATTATAATTATCTACTGGACACACTACCCCGCTTCAATGAGGCTTTCTTCAGGCACAGGTGGCTTAATTATGCATCACTTTGTTCCGAGGGTATTGATATTTGAAGCCGTGGTGTTTCGGGTATCGATCGGCGTTCATAGTCGCCGACATGCAGGGGTGGTGGATTCATACTCCGGGGTTGTGGGGTGTAACAGCTCCAATGTAGCTAATTTTTTTTTTTTTACTAAACCAAGAACACAATTTATTTTTAATATGCTGTAATAATTGATGGAGATCAAAGACCAAATGTGCGAGTCAGGTAAGCGTGACAAATTGATTGCAAGCTGAAACAAAAACCATCGTGCTCAAAAGTCTTGATACTCGCTCGGAAACAAAAAGGCCACATGTGCAGCTTATACATAACTATTTGAAACTTGGGTCTTACCACTCTTGACCCTGCGTGTAATTTCCCCGGACTATCCGGATCAGACTACCAAGCACCGAGAGAGTGCATGTGCTTTTTCATATCCGCTGCCTGCAGCTTGTGGTATGCATAGCCCGGGTGGTAGTCATTCCACCAGACGCAGGTGGCACCATCGTCATTGATACAACTAGCGTCAGTGAATCCATATGTTGTAGGGGCGTCGAGGACTTTGCTCATGAAGGCGAAGGAATCGTAGAGAACGGTTGTAGTCTGCAGCTAGGTTAGCTGATCATGTATATATAATCAGAGACAAGAACTTACGCCACTGTTGTCTGAAATGAACTCATTGACCATTGTTTTTAGGGCAGCGTTGAAAGCCGCGAGCCACTTGGCGTGGCCAGCCTCAACGGTTGCCCCTTGATTGGCAATCTGGGGAGATCGGCTTGTAGGGGGGACATTGAGGAAGATGAACTTCCGTCCACCATTTGCATAGAGCTTTTCGGCTTGAGTCTTATACTGGGCCATGATCTTTGGAATCAGGACACTGGCGTCATTACTTGACCAAGCCCAACCAATGCTATAGATTGGGGAGTTAGTCTAGTCGCTAATAGGGATCTAGGGAGCATACTCATTGATTCCAATCCAGAATCCAAAGACTGCATTGTCTGAAGTCCATGGTGCAGTATCAGGCTTCTGGCTGTATGCCGTCTCAAAACTGGCGACTTGCGTTACCATATCTTCCTTGGTATTGGTACTGACAAGGGAATTGTCGAGGGATGCTCCTCCAACAGCGAGGTTATAGCTGAGGACTTTTGAGGCATTGTTCACAGTAGTCAGGTATCCCACCCAGTTGACACCGCCAGTGGTTGTTCCGGTACCTGTTGTTTTGAATCAGTCAATCCTGCTTGCCAAACGGCGAACAAAACCTACCCAGTACCGGGTTACCCATCGGATTGCCAGCAGTTGGCTGCGTGCCACCGACATCGAAACTGGTCATGGTGTAGGAATTGCCACTGCGGATTCCTTTTAGCTCCCTTCCCAGCGAGCGATAAATAGAGGATACAATTCATCACCCACAATGTAAAGAAATAACTGTCTGTAGCACGAGTTTGTAAGGGAGCAGCAGCAGCCAGCCCAGCACCGGCGATCATACTAATGAGATGCTTCATGATGAGGAAAATATGCAATGCCTATGATAGTCTATTGGAAGAAAATACGCACACGTCCATAGTTCTTTCCTTATATACTTGTACTCAACACTCCAAATATTGTTTTCTTCCGAACCAATAAACCAAGGGCCGAGATCATAAATTAAAACACAAGACTATCATTTAAATAAGGTCAATCATTTCCTCAAATGGAGGCGTTCCGACTCATCCATATTAGGACAAAATGACGGTATCTCTGAAACTGCGGGGTAAACATGGAGTAGTGTTGGAATAATCAAGCTATTTCACTATTGCGGAGAAGTTGAGTAGTTCTTTGGAGTTGTCGAATACCCTAAGTTCCTATATTGGCCAGTCGCATGACTTTCCTCTACTGAATATGGATGCGTCATGCAGCTAGAATGCATGCCCTAATTCGCTTCTGTCTTCCTCTTACCCGAGTAGTTTGCTACTATCTTCCTCTTGCCCGGTGGATTTGCTATCGTCATCTCATTTTCCAAAACTGTAGTCTCACATGATATCATCTATGTTCATATTGTTGCATTGAAGTCTTATCTACATCCGACATCGAATCGGCATCATGCAGATTAGGCTTGATCCGATTCGGCAGCGAACATCTCTATGCCCACACCGCATACAACCAATCGCGACTGTTGTAGTTCCGATCCAGGTACTTGGTTCTCTGCGGGGAGGGCATTCCCAGACCCATGGACAAGTCCCAATGCTGCTATATCAGCCACAGAACTGTATGTATCCCGTAAGAATCTGACGATGATCCCCTGCGTGCCAGGCTGTGCGGGGTCCACGGTGATTGACCAGATTTTGACTCGGTAGTCGTTCCCAGAGGATGCCACAGTGATTTTAATGGATTCTGTATTTGATGGAACATCACGAGAGATATGCTGTTTGAGTACTTTAACCGTGGTGACTGCCGCAGCGTGAGCATCAGGGATAGAAACCGTAGCTACCTGTGCATTCGTGCCGGTGTCGGATGGATGTGTCCGTAGAAGAGACACGGAGAGAGAGTTATCATCACCTCCAGCCACAACAACAGTGGCTGTGTCAGAGATAGAAACCAGTTCCATCCCCTTGATGCTGTTGGAATGAATCTGATATCGACTTTCGCATGTGATGCTTTCTGGTGAGATGGAAGATCCGTCGAAAGTTTGTTTGGCCCTCAAGGAGGATTGTGTGATTGTGTAAAATGGTTCGAGTGTGCTTGTTAGATCCCACAGTGTAAAGTGGCCATCGGTTGCTGCGGTAATAAGACTCACGGTAGAGCTCGTGACCAAGAAATGTGCTTGGGTCAAACAATTGGTCATGTATTTTCCACGAGCTAGGAGAGTGAATTGACCCCCATTAGATGGCGAAAAGTGGAAGATCTGCAAGAACGTTAGTACTGGGCGATATATTTGAAGGAAAAGAGGCCACCCTTACCTTAAAAACAGAGTTGGAAAGAGCAAGGCACAGGAGGAAACCCCACTTCCCGTCAACTTCTTCTACTTCCAGCAGATCGAAACTAGGTATCCGGAGATCGGAATTCTCATCGTCCTTTGGACTGGCAGCCATCAATTTCGTGGCAACGCCGAAGATGGGAATGGTGCGAACTTTCCACACGAAAAACTCTTCGTATGCAGCACTCGTGAACAGGTATCTCCCATCCTTGGACCAGGTCACCTGCTGGATCCCAGACTTGTGTGTATCCAAGACGCGCAGACACTCAAAGCTACCCCACGGACTAGCAGCCGACGACGAAGTTGGCATGAAAAGACGAACAGTCGTGTCCTCTGCACCAGTCGCAAATAGAGGCCGATCTCCACCGGTAGGGTTGAAAACACCTATCGCTTTGATTTCCCGTCCGTGAGCTCCAGCTCGAAGTAAAGTAGTGGCACTAGCTCGTATGCGGGTGGTCATTAAAGAAGTTCCGTCTTTCCAGGTGAACAAAACATTGTCTTTTTTGTCTCCTGGGATGAAGTCCCAGCCTCGGCGAAAGCCGCCTGAAGCAATGGATACGATATCCGTCAGCTTCGACTCGTTGCGCAGGACGAAATCTTGTGATCTGAATCCGTACAACATGAAATCCCCAGTCGCTTTATCGAAATAGGCGCCTTCGATGTTCCCACCAGTCATAGATGCTGTACGGTGCACCGTCTGTATCGATACAGCATCTGTTCCGCCCCCACAAAGCTGCAATTCATGGAGACAATAAGTTCCGTCTCGCCCACAGGTCAATACAAAGTCCGATTTTGTGCTATCACTCGTAGTAGCAGATGTCACGACGCTGATGTGATTGACAAATTCTCGGCCATGAACACGGCGATTGACCAATACAGGCCCAGCCTCAGAGACGTTATATATAGCAAGGGCGCCTAATTTTGATCCTATAATCAAGTATTGGCCATCGAAGATGAAAGACGCACTGCAAACCACAAATGAGGATGGTAGGCTAAAGGTGACTGTTTCAGCATTTGGATGATCGCTGTTCCAGTCGGAGACGTTGACAAGTGTTATTTCTTCTCCAGTAGGGTAACAGACGACAAAGCTGATTTTTTTAGAAGAATTCAAGGGATCCATCCTGGAAGAATGGGTCTGAAGGAAGAATATTCCAAGGGGTCTGTTGCCAACGTCGCAGACGTTGATAACAGATTTCGAGGCGTGATTATAGAGTCGAATGAATCCTCGACAATTACCGATCAATGCCAGGCCAATCTGGGGCAAAGCGGTCATGACACCAAAAGAAGAAAGGTCAGGTGTTTCACATATTGTCTCCCAAGTGATGGCAATTTCCTCTGCTTGGTTGAGATATCCAAGCTGGATGTGACCTTGTGTAGACGTGCGAAGAAGGTAGTCTTGGGTGACAAATGCAAAGGCTTTCGTTCCATCAGCTGTGGAATTTTCCTTTGTCTTTACTTGGAGGCTAGGTGATTGCGACAAAGAAGCGACAGGGCCACTGCCCAGATGGTCATCGTCATTTTCTTTGATGGGGAAACTTTTCAGCGCACCATCGGCACCTCCGGTGTAAACCACAGTCTCAGAGCCAATTCTGCAAAGATCCAGAGACCAAATGTGCTTTCCAAAATGTGTTTTTATTGATGAAGTCTGGGTGAGGTTATAATCAGTCTTCCCGGCGGATGATGAATGCCAGCTTAGGTCCCACAAAACACATGTGCAATCCTCTCCACGAGAAACCAACCCCATGTGGGTTTGGTTATTATTTTTGATGGCCCTGAAATGGACACCCCAAATGCGAGCCGTGTGCGCAAATGCCTGGACTACACATGACTCGGATCCAACGCTCTCCTCGCCTGCCTCAACAGGGCCAAAGCCTGTGCTTCTCAAATCAAACCCGTCGGTGGAATACGCAGAAGGATCTTGGGCTGTTTTGTGCTCGCAATCCGATACGTCCCAAATCCTCACAGTTCTATCGTCACTGCAACTGGCCAGTATTCTACCAGACTGACCTCCATTCAAGGACGGGATTTGCGGAGAGATGCGGACACCAAATATTGATCCGTCATGCCCCGTGAAGAAATGGTGGATGGAGGCGATTGCATTAGCTTTGTGTGATCCATTTTTATTCAAAAAACACGACCATACGATGATTTCTCCGAAGACGGTACCAGCGGCAATGAGGACATGGGAGGAAGACAGCGCAATCACATCGGCGGAGTAAAGGATAGACTTTACACTCGTCGCCAGCTGATATATGGATATTGTCGTAGTTCTCCCAGGAACCCCACTGTCAAGCACTTTGAGACTTAGGAGCGCGTTGTTTGAAGTGATAAAAAATGCCCCGTAATGGCCATCTGCAGTAGCTGCGCACCCACTCATGATCCAATCTGGAGCAGTGAACTCGGCACTAGAGGCCGACAACGTGACTTCGTTGTCAGAGGCGAGAAAGAGGTTGACCGCTCGCACCGAGCGACCACCCCAGACGATTATTTGGACATGGCTCGAATCATTGTCCTGTAGTCGGTTATTCAAAGTAATGAAACCATGAATATTGTTTCTTTTGAATATCTGGACTTGAGCAGCAACAACACTGGTGGTTTCATCAACCACCCGAAAGGATGTGCCTTGACTTTGAAAGATGAATCTCCTATCGTTCAATACAAACGTCTTCAACGCTGTTATCGGGAGAAAAGCATCAATATGCTGCAATTTGAGTCAGCGGGACGGCGTTTTGACTACAGATATCGCAACACTGACCTCGAGTGAGAGAGACATTGCCAACTTCTACGCACATTAAGTAGAGAAGGGAATTACACGGAATGTCTCAATTGCCTCTGATAAAAGTGTACATCCCACCAACCACCAAAAAAAGCCCACTACTTTTTCGATGATTCCCCGATGTGGTTACATAATACTTCCACTAATCCACAAACGGTAATATTACACACGTGATCTCGCGATCGAGGCGCGGGAGCGAAATGACGCTCGGGGCTCGGGGCTCACGTCACCTAGTCGAGAACTCCCCAATCAGCCACCTGCGAGCACTTCTCTCGCTACATGTGGATTCTCTCTAAAATGCCAGACCTTCCTAGTACAGACTCATGATCTGATACCCCCTTTGACTAGTCATGGGTGTCACCGGCCTCTGGACGGTCGTGCAGCCCTGCGCCCGCCCCATCAAACTCGAAACGCTCAACAAGAAACGACTAGCTGTCGACGCGTCGATCTGGATTTATCAATTCCTGAAAGCGGTGCGAGACAAAGAAGGCAATGCGCTCCGAAATTCTCACATCGTTGGATTCTTTCGCCGCATATGCAAGCTGCTGTATTTCGGGATCCGCCCCGTCTTCGTCTTCGATGGCGGAGCCCCGGTTATGAAAAGGCAGACCATTGCTGGCCGAAAGAAGAAACGCGAGGGTCACAGGGAAGATGCTGTGAGGACTGCGGGAAAGTTGCTTGCCGTACAAATGCAACGCAGTGCGGAAGAGGAGGACGCTCGTCGACGCAATAAAAGCCAGAGACAAGAGGAGGAAGAGGTGCCAGATGCTCCTGTCTACGCAGAAGAGGCTTTTATGACAGAGACAGAAAAGCAACAATCTCGCAAGTTCAAGAAGAAGGATGCGTACCACCTACCTAATCTAGATGTCTCGCTTCAGGATATGGGAGCACCAAACGATCCACGCATCATGTCCCAAGAGGAACTGGAGGAATATGCTAGACATTTCCACCAGGGACAAGATATCAACCTTTACGACTTTTCTAAAATCGACTTCGATAGCATGTTTTTCCTTAGTCTGCCCCCCACTGATCGCTATAATATCTTGAATGCAGCAAGGCTAAGAAGCCGACTTCGAATGGGTTATTCGAAAGAACAGCTAGATACCATGTTTCCCGACCGCATGGCATTCTCGAGGTTTCAAATCGACCGTGTCGCAGAACGTAATGACCTTACGCAACGATTAATGAATTTAAGCGGCATGAACGGAGACGAAGCATTCTACAAGTCTGGGCAGCGCATCGCAGGAGAACGTGGCAGGGAATACGTACTTGTCAAGGATCGTGAACACGAAGGTGGCTGGGTCCTAGGTGTTGTGGGTAACCGGGAAGGCCACGAAGAAAAGCCCATCGATCTAGATCGACCTGAGATACTGTCTGAAGAGGATGAGGTATCTGACGAAGATGAGTTCGAGGACGTTCCAATCGAAGGTCTGAACCGACTTCCGAAACTTCCTTTCCTTCAAGAGGGCGTATTCGACAGGTCGCTTCAGCTTGAAACCGACGAAGGTTTTGACATGAGAAGGGCTATACAAGAATCGCGCCATATTGCACAGCGACAGTCAGTGAATGATCGTGTACAAGAGGTTGAGGATGATTCGCTTTTTGTGGAAGCAGGAAATATTGGCGCACAGCAACAGAACAACGACACCGATGATTTCTTTGATGGTGATGACGATGACCTCGAACAAGCTATTGCCCTCTCGTTACAACCAGATATACTCGGCGACGAAGATATGCCTGATATGCCCATTTCTCGACCGGTCGAACCAGCTCCATCTTATGGGATAGTGCCAGATCTTGAATCCGAGAGCGATGATGGAATGGACTTTTCAGCCGCCATAGCAAGGACGAAGGTTGCGAAGAAGGCCTCATATGCACCAAATCCGTTCGGTGGTCCTCTCCCTTTCGAATCCATCAAACTCACCAAAGTCACGAAAGACAATGATAAAGCTGGCGAGATTGATGAAAATGCAGGGGGTTTCATGAAGGAGCCTACAAAGAAACCGAAACAGATGGACCCACTTCCTCCATGGTTTGTTGGTGAGCGCTCGGATGTGGGATTCATCGTTGATCCCATTGAAGATCCTGAAAAGGATGAGCAACTTGCGGCATCAGATCATTTGTTCCTCTCCAATCGTCGCTCGCCGGAAATTATCGATGTTGACGAAATTTCCGCCACCAACGAAGTCGTTGATCTAGAGGAGAAGGAGAAGGAAGAGGAAGAGGAAGGGGAGGAAGAACAGAAAGAGAACCCCAGACAAGTCTTTCAATTGGAGGACATTGAAAAGGTTTACAATGAACTTTCTACATATCCGGATGAGAAGCCTTTGAGCGAACCAGCTCTACCTCCGATTGATAGAAATATTGATGGGCCGTCCGCACGCACCGAGCCTTCTCTTTCGCCAGAATTTGAAGATGTTGTCCCTCAGCGACCCACCCAAGGCCCCGAGATCACCGTTGTATCCCATCAAAAGGCCCCACCCCAGCCCCAGCCCCAGCTCTTCGAAGAGGTCGACCGAGTGGAGGATTTCATGCAGGACCAAGCCGACTACAGTGACCCGGAGGATGAAGAGCTGTTCAAGCAGCTTGCAGCTGAGGGCGAGGAGCATGTGCGATTTGCCAATACTCTTAATTCTACTGCTCCCAATCAGGAAGCCTTCGACTACGAGCAAGAACTAAAACAACTACGGTCTCAGCAGAGAAATGAACGTCGTGATGCAGACGAGGTGACTACTATTATGATCAATGAGTGTCAACAGCTTTTGACGCTCTTCGGGTTACCTTATATCACGGCGCCTATGGAAGCTGAAGCGCAGTGCGCCAAATTGGTCTCGCTAGGCCTTGTGGACGGGATTGTCACGGACGACAGTGATATCTTCCTCTTCGGCGGAACACGGGTCTACAAAAACATGTTCAATCAAAGTAAATTCGTCGAATGCTACTTGACTTCGGATTTGGAAAAAGAGTATGCCCTCCATCGACAGAAGCTTATTAGCTTTGCCCATCTCCTGGGCAGCGATTACACAGAGGGCATTCCCGGGATTGGTCCTGTCACAGCTCTAGAGATCCTCACCGAGTTTTCCAGCCTCGAAGAGTTCCGTGATTGGTGGACTGAATTGCAAATGGGTACGAATGCTGCGGAAAATGCTCACCTTGCCTTCCGGAAGAAATTCCGAAAGAAGGCATCCAAGATCTTTTTGCCTCCTTCATTTCCTGATACCAAAGTTGATGAGGCATACCTGGAACCCACGGTTGACGACGACCCTTCCCAATTTCAATGGGGTATTCCTGATTTGAATGGGTTACGGGCCTTCCTCATGACCACAATCGGCTGGAGCCAAGAGCGGACGGATGAAGTCCTGGTACCAGTCATTCGCGATATGAATCGGCGAGAGCAGGAAGGTACACAGTCCAATATCACACAATTCATGCAAGGCCCACAAGGCGCGGGTGCATTTGCGCCTCGTGTTCGTGCAGGTGGACCTAGTCGCATGGAAAAGGCATTTAGTCGACTGCGCCAGGAAGCTCAGTCAGGCGGAACCTCGCTAGATGGCGAGCAAGCTATCGGGGACGGAGAGGGAGTAGAAGAAGCCTCTGTTTCGCAAAGTAAAGGCAAAAGAGGTGGCTCAACCACCAAGCCCAAGGCTGGCACGAATAAGAAGCGAAAGACCCGTCGTGCCAACTCTCCTGAACCATGATATGGGTTCTCGCATGGGCAGCATACTATGTACATAATAGACACATGTGCAGATATTCATTCCTAGTATTTACTAAGCCTTTCTATACACAAACATCAGATTTAGTATCGTACGTGAAGACATCATGTAGGTATGTGAGGGAGAAGGATAACCATCACTCCTTCTGATACAGCCCTCTTACAATTATAAACATAAGATAAAGGAGCATTCAATGCTTTCTAATGTTGTCGCTCCACAGAAGATTGCTCAAACACATGAATAATGAAAATTAAGAGAACAAATACTGTCTGAAATAGGAAATTTGATACCTTATTCCCCTGATTTCCACCTGGATATCATATTTAATAACTAGTTATCCCACATGCATCCACTCTCTCTTTTATTTTCCACACCAATGACCCCCCATTCTCATCACCCATCTCCTATCTTTTTATCAAACCATCTTCAATGGCAGCTCCAGGTTAGACACTTGTGGACATCCATGGATGGGTTACAACTGCAACAACCTGTGTGTCCCTGTTGACAGATAACAGACACGATCACCAGCTAGTTCTACCCAGCACTCTGGCATTGGCAACGGCAACGGCATTGATAACCCATATTGGCATGCCCTTGCTAGTTGTTATTTTATATAGGGCCAGTGGGCAACCTCAGAAGCCTAAAACTTCTATGGTCCTAGGGACCTAACCACTATATTCCTATAGCCATTGTTATGGAGGGAGGAATCTGCTCACCTAGACCGTTCTCGAGTTGTGCTTGCTTCAAAAGCTTCCCCCCCCCCCTTTCAATCTACTCTCTGTCTTCTTCTCTCGTCGCCGATTTACTGTGCACCGATACTTTTCTTTTCCCACTATGTCTCTTTCGCTGTTACAACTCTGGGCTCGCAACATGGACCAGGACCCTGCGAGTACGCCACGCGAGAGGGTTGCGATAAGATGTTCCCATCAGTTTATGATGCCAAACAACATACAGAAGAGCATAATGGCAAGCCTAGATGAGTATGCCAATACCCTCGGTGCCAATCCCACATGCAAGGTAGACGGCAGGCGCAAATTGGCGCCATGCCAAGAATTTTGAACTCCTACGGAATCGAGATTAGCGTTGGTGTCGTGGGGTAGGACTTTCCTATTCCGAGTGGCTGCGTCGTTACAAGTTTCAATGGAACTAGTGAGTTCACACAGTCCACGCATGATCAGCGTTCCCCCAACTCTCCTCTCTCTTTGCGTACTTGCAGGGCCAACGGGTCCTCATATGCACGCCCGAGGAATGGTTTTTTGTGTTTACGGGGTTCAAATAGGCAAGAATGTGCATCATGGATAATGCTGAGTTAGGCCGATTTTATGTTAATTGGTACTTAGTACTATGTAAGAATTGACTGGGATTTTCAACATCTGGTGTACATATGTCTCGCTTCCACTCATATACCAACTGGCCTTCACTGCTTTCAAACTCCTCTGCGGGCCAGCGAGCCTAGTCTCATATTATAGGGATGCAAGTATCCGGTGTTAAGCAAACGAAGAGGTCCAGCTTCTGTCCCATAGAGTGTTTGCGACACGTGAAGGAACTGCACATGTGGTCTGTCCAGAACCTTCCGTGACCAATATAAAAAGGCTTTGCTCGCTCCTTCTTCTCTACTCCTTCTTCTTCTCCTTCTATAACCACACTTTAACACAACTTCTACATCTCTCTATATATGTACCACGGCTTTTTTATTCACTTGAGGAGGTTCAAGGTTAGAATATAATAATCTAATACGACTAGCTTAAACACAAGCTAATTGACATTCTCCATCTTAGACGCACCACCTTGAGCTCAAAATGCCTACGCTAAGCCCCTTGAAATAAACTGGCTGGCAATATGGCCAAAGAGCATGGGTCAAATCCAGGAACGTGAAACCCCTTCACAATGGAGAGTCCCAACATCTGGACTCACTTCCTTCGACTTTGGAAGACACCTGTTCCAGCGAGCATCTCACGACGAGAAAGATCTTGTGTAGAAGCTTGTGAGTACAAGGGAAGAGTACATCGAGATTATACAAGAAGAAAACGCCGACAATACAACACGAGAACAGTCCACAAGCGGACAAGCCAGTGAAGAGAATGGCAATGCATCGGAAATTTTAGAGTCAGAAGCGTCTCCAATGTACAGTGGTTTGTCAATGAAGTCCATTCCCTCCTCCTTGACAAAGTTTCTGACAAGATCGCGGTTCTTCCAAAGGCCCGATTTGTCGGTAGATTCTGTTTGCGGTGCGGCATTCATCCACTCACTCATTATAATCCTGGTCATAAAATTCTAAAGTACACCTTTTCTCTTCTGCCAAGGGATAGGGTCATTTGACTCCATCGTGCACTTCCTTAGCATGCCGATATATATTTGTTTAAAGACAAATGTCTTGGCAACCAACTCGAAAGGGATTTTTTTTTTTTTTTTTTTTGGAAATAATGCCTGAATGGGACATGGTAGCACAACAAACTTGGCCAACTATCCAGGGAAAGCTGTTTGTGATTTACCCCAGGAGTGGAGAGATCAAGGTGAAGAAGGAAAGAGAATTCCAAGTCCCATTGCTTAGATTGCTAACAAGCTTAGACCATCTTACGACCATGGACGATACTCGGTAAGACACGATCCCCCTTCCTATCTAAGATATCATTGTGTGGGTCACACACTAAGCAGATAGCCGGAGCCAGAATCGAACGGGAAGTGACGGCACCTGGACTGCGGGCTAATATCAGCCTACCTATTCCGCATTATTAGGCGGTGTGACTTTCTAAAGGGACGATATCTCGGCTGATCGCGATGCCCAACCAGCGAGAGCGTCGCAAATGATGCTGCTCATGTAATTTTGCTGGTCCCGGACACGTGCTTATTGTTGGCCAGTGGCCAGAAAACACGATCTCGGAGGAACAGTTGGTATGAAGAAGCAACGGCGTACAATGCCGGTTGAGTGAACTTCTGGGCCGACCAGTGACATCTCGCGTTCGTTGATCATAGTGCTGATCTTGCGTTCGTCGGCGAGGTAAAGACACGGATCCGGGAAAACTTCCGAATGCTCGATAATAGGTTGCTGTTTGAGGCCGGATGAGGCCAAATTTCGTCACATCCTAGATATTATATGCACATTATACTCACGATTCATCCTTGTACTAATAGTTGTGCTATAAGTACAAGTGGCCCGGTATATGCGGGACCAGAACGTCACACCCCTTTTTGTTCACATATAAAGAACCCATCTTCCTCAGAAAGGTTGACATCCAAGGAATGGGGCTGCAAGGCCGTTTAAATGAACGCCTTTGTTGAGCAGTAACTTCATGCCTTCAGGCTCAACACTACCGACCCGTAGACAATGTCTCGATGTCTTCGGCATTGCCAAGCGTAACTGACCTATGACTTGTTCTTAATTTCTATTCATACTATGTCCGTGCTTGTCACTGTAACTCCAGTTTCCTGGTCTTCGGTGTTTACTCTTTCTACTGTACAAATGTATGTTGCTCGAATGGGTGGAATTGAAAACCGAGACCACATGGGCTTCCCCACGAAGAGTTCCACGATCTCGGCGATCAGCGATCAGTGGAACTGGGGCACCAATGGTAGTTCTATGAGTTCTATACAGTATGTACCTAGATGCACCTATTGTACTTGCAAATTTTAATCAGAAAGGGGAAATCCAGGCACTCTTTACTGTAGTATATAGTATATAATAGTATAAACTAACAAATCTTAAATCTCAAATGCAACCCTTTAGACTCCATGACATCAGGAAATCGATGACGTCGATGATCGTGAAGACAAAAAATGCAACTCAACAAGATCGACCGACTATTGGCTTAAATTGGCTTAACTTGGCCTAACTTGGCTTAAATCGGCTGTAATCGACTTAAAGGGGGGAGCTAGCAGAGGCTGATTTCCTGCATTTAATCCTCTCTTAGTGGCTTAGCGTCCAATCCCTCGATTTCCTTCAGAAAAATAGTCGACGTCACTTCCCGAGAGCTTCCAGGAGAATCTTCACTTTTGATCAGCTGAGTTGTCAGAATATATTCCTCCCCTGTCCGTTTGCAGTCGAATCTTTTTTTTCCCTCGTCACATCCAGGTCAAGTACGTACTCCAAAGAGAAAAAAAGAAAAAAGAACCCCCCCTCTTTAAGCTCACGTCACTACTGCGCAAGGCATTGGAAAGTCTTTTTTTTATTCTTTCTAATTTCTTTTTTTTTCTACAGGAACAAGAATCTCTACATCTCTACAATCATCTTCCTATCGCCAATTTCCCCTGTCCAAACCATGCATCGCACCTATTCCATGCGCCAGTCGCGCGCCCCGACCGCCTCGCAGGTCGAGAGCCCACCACCACCACTGTCCACAACCAAAACCGGGAGATGGCTAGGGAAAGGCGGAATCGGTGAGTGCGATTGGGATATTTCATATTTCTGCGATCGGCTGCGACGACTAGAAATCTCCTGAGGATTCGTCACGCTGGAGGATGCCTAATTGGGCCGCCATCGACTCGTCCCCGTCGTACCTCCGAGAGATACAACGGTCGAATTGGAGACCACTAGTCGTCGGAGAGATCGCTAATGGGAAATAAAATGAAAATATTGGACTCACTAACATCCTGCGACTAGGCCATGCTTTCCGCAAGAACGCCGCCGGTGCCTTCGGACCCGATCTCGCGAAGAAGCTGTCGCAGCTCGTCAAGATGGAAAAGAACGCCATGCGCAGCATGGAACTCGTTGCCCGGGAGCGCATGGAAGTCGCTGTATGTGGATGGCCCTGAATCTGTGATGATCGTGGGAATAAATTGGAAACTGACTCGGTCGCCATAGCAACAACTCTCCATCTGGGGTGAAGCATGCGATGAGGATGTGTCGGATGTGACGGACAAGCTCGGCGTGCTGATCTACGAGATCGGTGAGCTGGAGGATATGTTCGTTGACCGCTACGACCAGTACCGTGTCACTATTAAGAGCATCCGCAACATCGAGGCTTCCGTACAGCCCAGCCGAGACC